TTCAGCCTAATTTGAACACTTTTAGACGTAGAGACTTCAGATTTACTGTGTATACATATACAGTTGATCGATACGAAGATTTTGTAATTTACAGTTTTTGGATACCACGCCCCCTTCCCCCCAATTTGTAAAAAAAATTCAAGTACAAAATACTTGTGCTTTGGAAAGTTTCATTAAGATTGTATGTCTACAAAAAAAAATTATTCAACAAATAAATTCTCCTAATATTGCATAAAAGAAGTGCAGAATGATTAGAATATAAGTTTGGAGGGTTCAGGGTATCTCCTAGTCGAGCAGTCTCGATTGGAGCATTCTTACTTGTTTTAATATTGATGTGTACTTTATAGAATTTCGATTTTTGTACAAATTTACCCCCCACCCCTATATCCCCCCTAAAAGGCGTATTTCAAATACTAGACACTTGTGCTTTAGCATTTTAATGTTATAATCACGATCTGAAAGTTTTATGAAGATAGTCCATCCACAAGAAAAGTAAGTTCCCGTAATAAGACCACGCTGTAGCCAATGCGTGCTTATGCGTGTGAGCGTATGCCTGTGTATGTATGTGCGAATAATTATTTAAATATCAGTTGCTCGAAGGGTTCAGGTGATCTCGTAGCCGAACAGTCTCGAATAGAGCTTTCATGCTTGTTTTCTTTTTCGTTTTCTGTTGTTTGTCGCAGTCTTATGTGAAAGAGTATAAATAAACCATTTGAACAAATAATAAAGTGCATGATTGGAATTGCAACGGAAAGTGAAATTGTTGCTCATAAATTTGCAGAGACCAAACAACCTTTGGCTAAAGCGATAAGCCATAATCTTCACGCAAGTGCTGCAAGTCCATAAAAACCAATTGGAAATTTGCCTTCAACATACAAAATCAAGCATCCAGCAACCAGTATATGCCGTCGAAGAAATTAGTGGTCACCGCCAAGCATCGAACGCCTTGGATGATCCTTTGTTTTTGTTACTTTTACACACATCCGACATTCGACATCGGCATCCACATCCACATCCACATCCATATCCATATCTTCATATCCATCTACATTACCATCTACATTTACATCAACAATCCACATCGACACCGACAGCTCCTTTACTGCTTCGTGCGCTTTTCCACAAACCGATAAAGGTTACCGCGGCCAGAAAGTGACAATTGATTTTTCCGCTGATGCTGTTTGTATAGACAGTAGATACTTGCCGTTTATTACTTGCCGCCAACGCCGCGATTTGAAAAATAAACACATGCAATGCGAAAGTCGTTTGATGTCACATCGCTTATACAATGCAAAAGACAATTTAGCTATAATACCAAATAAGAGGTGCTAAATGTTTCACTCTGGATGAGGAATGAATGTGTCTTTTACTACAAAGGATGGGAGCTGCAAGATTACTGTACCCCATTTTCGGTATTGATCATAAAAGAGTAAGCTGCAATGCAATGACCTCTTTAAATGCCAATTTCTATGCGCCTGTGAGGCTATACCATCAACGGTTATGTTTTATATCTGCTTATTTGATGTATTTCTAAAGATCTTGACAGATATTCCATATGATGTTTACCCCGTTTCTTAAACTCTATTTTAAGTGAGATAAATAAGAGAAATGGATATTTAGATCTTGATTTTATGATAATTTAGTAATCCACGGAAAATTATTTATTGATAACTTCCCATTGACACTTTATCAAGAATATAATCAGCGTGTTGTTTTGATTATATAGAAATGTTTTTATACCCTAATCCCATTGAAAAGGGTAAATTTGAAAATTTGAAATTTTTTTCCTAGGTCCGTGTATATCACACGCATATCGAGTTTTTCCCAACTATCGATAACTACTCCCGATATTTTGTTATCGATTAAAACCCTTGTGTGTGTGTGTTTCTTGTGTAAGTAGAAAGACGCAAAGGAATTTTAAAATCTCAACTCTTCGAAGGGTTCAGGAGATGTCGTAGTCGAGCAGTCTCGACTAGAGCTTTCTTACCTGTTTACAATAGATTTGTACAAAACAATACACCTGCTATTTTACAATCGTGCATAGGATAGAAACAACATTGCGGTTGCCCCTTCTCCAAACCAAAATGCAACGCCTACGACTCGCCATTGCGTTCGCTGATAGACAGGAATTAAATAGTGGAAAAACGCCGGCAAAATAAAAAATAAAAATACAAAAAAAAAGCAATAAGATACTCAAACCGGAATTTTTGTGGACAGGCTCCGCTCCTACGTCACATAAAAAGCTTACGAAAAATGCAGTAGGAATGCGAATACAAAACGAAGTGAAGGTGTACGACCAAAGACCATCATTTGTAATGCCGATCTGCTCAACAGACTAATCGATACAGCTACACGAGATCAGTGATCGGCGATCGGCGATCAGTGATCAAAATGATTAAACAAGTCAACGTGCGCTCGCTCAATCAATTAAGTATGAAGACATTGACGATGGCTAGACGCTGTGTGTAGCTTTATTGTTGTTGCAACATGATCTCCCACATACGAGCCGGCATAAGCATTTGCATAGGCAACTATCGCTTCCATTAAGTCTGATGATAACGATAGTCGTTAGTCTGATAGCAATATCATGTTGTATGTGATTATTACTTTTTTTCAACTCTTGATCACAATAACAAGATCATGATGCACTTTCGAAAGCCTAAGCTGCAAAACTTATTCGCTGAGTCCTTACTGACTTGCTGAAAGTGAAAGTTACGATCATCGAAGCTGCGATCACCTGTCAGGTGTGAAATGTCTACAAGAAGATTGCAATACTCCTAATGCTTGATTATTGGCCAAGTCAAATTCTCGGTATTTCATTCAAATTAGAGTAACAAAATGGAATAAAAATGTTAGCCATTACCAAAGAGAAGAGTCAAGTCAGATACTTCATACAAGCAAATCGAGAGGAGTCTTTTAATTTGGTCCCATTTAACACTCTTTGAAATATCTCTTGCAAAGCCTTAAAAGGATCGGACGTCGATCTTCAATCGGCGTTGGCGTTAACTCCCACTGTGCCTCATCTGGTCGTAAATAATACAAAAAAAGTAAAAGTGCTCTGTCGGGTCTTCCTGACTAATATATGCCCTGAGTACCGCATTTCTGATACTCGATTAGTCTTGAATTTTTCCATCGTGGTATTCAAAAGGACAACCAGTAAGAAAACATCCCATCTACACATTGAATATTAGACTTTTTATAAAAATGGAAATTCATTCACAATTAGATATGCTTGCAACTGATCGTCGAAGGGAAGCTTACCCAAATTTAGAGGCACTATCCAAAAAATCGAAATAAAAATACATACATTGAAATTGAAATTCAAAGTTTGAAGAATCTAACTATAACGACATAATTTTGAAAAAGTCTTCAATAGGTAGCCAAAATACGGGATTTTTTGAAATAAACTCGATCATATGCCTCTGCAAAACAATAAGAACAAAATAATTTAGTATCTGAGGCTCGAAGTTATTAATTTTAAATAAACATAAACAAGCTAAATAAATTTGAAACTTTATTTGAAACCTACGAAGACCTCTAGACGAGGTCTTATAGATTTTGCGATGAACTTAGCCCATCCTCCTTCTGCATGTTACATACATTAAAAGAAAACCATTATACCCTGAATTACCATGTTCCAGGGGTTCAGGGTATAAAAAAAGAAAAACTAATACATCGCCCGACGTAGTTTGCTTTTTTGAATGAATTGGCCACCAATAGATAGTCCAGACAGCTGGATAGACCAACCGGCGACAGCCAAGGCATTTAGAAAGTCGCCTCTCACACGCCGCCGTTTAAAAGCTAAGGAAAATAAATTGAAAACTGTAAAGCAAATTACCAGTAAAACGCATTGTGACAAGACTTTACGTGGGCGCTTTTTAGCTTTGGCCTAAACGCAATTGGGATTTCATTAGTTACGTATAAGCAGTATTGTATATGAGGCCGTTCACTGAACACCCCAGTACCCAACGCAGTATATATGAGCCCCAAATTTAACAAAAATTCTTGAAAATATAACTACATGGTTAATAAAGTAAAAATGTGGTAATATGCAACAGAAAACTTATTAAACCAAACGATAGAGCTCTAAAATTATGGGTTAAATGTGCAACATTAAATAAGTAAGAACGTTGAGTTTACGAATACGGAATACTCATTCACAGCCCAAAAACTGGTCGTGTTTTTGGCGTTGGGATTCAAATATCAAAATCAAGTATGTTTCAGATATATGGGAATTTCTAGAAATCAATATATAGTTAAATCTTATTTGCCACAGAGTGTGAAAATCAAGTCAATTACTATATAATTTATAGTATGTAACAGTAGCTCCCATGCCAGTCAGGAAATTCTTAACTCTATGCAATTCAAGTCTTCAATAGCGCTTCAAGAGAGTCAAAATAAAACGGACATTGAATAAAGCCAATAATTCATTTCACTTTCCTGAATGGGTGTAAAAAATTTCAAAATGTTAATGCTGTATCTACCGCTAATATGTAAAAACTTAAAATTGATCTAGGCAAAAAAATAGCCAAAGTCTACAGGAATTCAATTATTGAAAAAATATCTTCCCATATATACTTCTGTGATATCTTTTGATCAGGAACTAATTTTTATAAGATTAAATTATTACAAAACTATTTGCAATATTTAATATGTATTTTATAATAATTTATAAATAATTAATGTGTTTTATTTCTCTCTCTCTCTCTCTCTCTCTCTCTCTCTCTCTCTCTCTCTCTCTCTCCCTCTCTCTCTCTCTCGCTATATCTTGCTTCTCTCTCTTTCTTTATTCCTTTTTATCTCACAATGAGACCATTTTTTCACGTTTAAATTAAACAGGAAAGTCGCGAAACATCACGTTTAGGGTTAAACATTTTTATATTGATAATTGCAATTACGTTACTACTCACATACACTTAAATGTATACACTTATACGTGTGATCTGGTATCAAGAAAGTTCTGCTTATAGAAATACATAGGGAAATTCCAATAACAACGTACCTCGCTGCCTGCTGCCCTTGGTTTTGTTGTTGTTTTTCCTTAGCTGAAATAGGTCTTACCACATTATCAACTAAATTTGTTGTTTGTGATTTATCTAGTTGATTTACATCTACATTATTTGTTATATACATATTATCATTTTGTTTATTTAATTGATTTTTTGGCACATTAGCGGTCACTTCATTTTCAGCATTGTTATTCTTTTCACTGTTAGGCACTACACTAAAATAGTTGTTATTATTGAAATTTACATCAGACGGCAGCACGTTCATATTCACTGACGTGTCTGTTACCGGGGCGTTTATTGTTTCTGTATCGGTACTTGGCTCGGTGCCCACTTTCATCATATTATCTGCATCTGGACGTAATGACGTCGAGCTCGACATTTTAGGCGCCGCGGCCGTTGTCTGCGCAGTGGCAGCTGGCGCCTTTTCTGTTGGAAAATGTACATCATTTTTTACATTCCGCAAGGGGTTGATGAAGAAGTCCTCTTCATTTGCTACTGGCCCCGGCATTAGGGGGCCTGTCTGCTGTATTTTTTCCTTGGCATTATGTACTGTTGCTGTATTTGTTGCGGCGACATCTGCCGCGGCAGCGATATCATATAGCCAGAAGCAGCAGCTGCAGGACAAAACGAAAATATGGAAAATAATGGAAAGAATGTTAGAGCCCATTTACATTTTTTAATATTTAGGGAGGAAGGTGTCTTACCTTAGTATAAGATTTATGTACATAAAACGTACTAAATGCAATCTAATTTTCATTCTTTCGTATTCCAGCGCAGACACGCAACGCTTATTATCAAGAACTCACAACTGAAGGCCTTCCGCAGCGAGAATGCTTCAATTGACTCGCCCACTATTGCTAAAACTATTTTATTTTATGTACATATTTGCCATTCGCTCACTAACGTTGTGGGGAAGCATATAAGCTCCGCACAAAGCTGTCATACTGTGTTGCCTTAACAAATAATAAAAATTAAACTGCTACCTAAAATTGTCGCAGCGTATAAAAAATAAAACAAATTTCAACTAAAGATGGATATTTCGCGATATATGATATCGATTATTTCGTGCAATGGTACCATATATCGTTGATAATTATTCTTTTATCGCATGAAGAAATTTCCCCTTCCTTAGAATTCTTACACTATTATTGTAAAATTATTTTTACTTTAAGCTAATCAAGAAGTACTGAACGATCTATAATTAAAAATACTGAATGTTCAAAAACGATTTTTAAATGGTTCCGAACCGATTCGATTTTTACTAACAATAATAAAACGATTAATCGAAAAATGCGGGATTCGTCAACAACAAACTAACAACTCTCTTTTGTGCTGCTTGTATTAATGCTCGTAGAAAAACTGGGTTTAATAAGTTTACTTTAAATATGTCATTCTTGCGAGGCTCGTTGAATTATGTTTGGTGTACAACCAGCGTGCTGGGAAAAGGTGCAACCGGATCTGTGTTCCAGGTAGGAAAATGAAAACTTATGTTTTTTGACAGTGACACACTTCAAATTCGCTTTTGCAGGGAGTGAATAAGACAACTGGGGAATCAGTTGCCGTAAAAACGTTCAATCCGTACAGTCACATGCGACCTGCCGATGTGCAAATGCGCGAGTTTGAAGCTTTGAAAAAAGTAAACCACGAGAATATTGTCAAATTATTGGCTATTGAGGAGGATCAAGAAGGACGCGGCAAAGTAATTGTTATGGAATTATGTACGGGTGGAAGTTTATTTAATATACTCGATGATCCAGAGAACTCTTATGGCCTACCCGAACAAGAATTCCTTTTGGTTCTGGAGCATCTATGTGCCGGTATGAAACATTTGCGTGACAATAAGCTGGTACATCGGGACCTCAAACCCGGAAACATTATGAAATTTATATCTGAAGATGGTCAAACCATATATAAGCTAACCGACTTTGGTGCTGCACGAGAACTCGAGGATAATCAGCCATTTGCTTCACTCTATGGAACTGAGGAATATCTGCATCCCGATCTATACGAACGGGCCGTGCTCCGAAAGTCTATTCAACGGTCATTTACCGCAAATGTAGATTTGTGGTCCATTGGGGTAACGCTATACCATGTGGCTACAGGAAACTTGCCCTTTAGACCATACGGCGGACGTAAAAATCGCGAAACCATGCACCAAATAACTACGAAGAAAGCCTCGGGAGTAATATCTGGAACACAGTTAGCCGAAAATGGACCAATTGAGTGGTCGACAACACTGCCACCACATGCACATTTATCACAAGGTTTGAAGACGCTTGTGACCCCTCTGCTTGCTGGTTTGCTGGAGGAGAATCGCGAGAAAACTTGGTCCTTTGATCGATTCTTTCAAGAAGTGACCTTAATTTTGCGCAAGCGTGTAATCCACGTCTTCTTTACAAATCGCACCACATCTGTGGAGGTATTTCTGGAGCCGAATGAGCAAATCGATAACTTTCGAGAGCGTATATTCCTGCAAACCGAGGTGCCGGTTGAAAAACAAATATTGCTCTTCAATAACGAGCACCTTGAAAAGAAAATCTCCCCACGTACTATTGGTAATTTACACTTGCATTAATAACATGTTTGCAACTTTTCATAATTGTGTGAAACATCAATATTACTTTGCAGCGAAAGCCTTTCCCATAACAACAACGGAACACCCTATATTTCTCTACAGCAATGACGATAACAATGTTCAATTGCCACAGCAATTGGAATTGCCCAAATTTCCAGTATTTCCTCCAAATGTTTCGGTAGAAAATGATGCGAGCCTGGCAAAGGTAATATCGTCAGAATGTTATTTCACAAATGCTCTCAATATCTATTTTCGCAGGCTGCTTGCAGTGTGGGCCACGAATGCAAGAGACGCGTAGACATCTTTACCACCATGGATATACTCATTAAGAAGGCAGTTGAGCAATTCATCGAAATGTTAATAACCACCATTACTTTGTTGCTGAAGTGAGTTAAGAATGTTAATAATGCTGAATGTTCTAATCGGCACTGTTCGAGTGAGCCTACCCTGAGCCAATCGAAGAGGGGATTCCAATCAGTTTACATTTCTTTGAGAAATGTGTACACAGCAAACAACACACGCCCGCACTCAGCTTACTGCGCATTTAATGCAGCTTCTAGTGTGGTCTGTAGTGTATAGAAACTGAATTGTTGAATATCGTGTGTTTTGATGGACTTTCTTAATCAAATTCAGAGCGTGATAATAACATATATGTATATTGACAGGTGTCATTTTAATTTTAGGAATCCCATCAGAATCAGTATATTTTATGCTTCCTGACCACTCCTCACATTATCACAAAATCAAAATCTAAATTCCAATGAGATGAGAGTATTGAGAAATGGGCTTTAACTTAAAATATGCATTTACAATATTTATAGAAAAACGGAAAGCTTTGACAATCTGCTGTCCACCGTTGTAGACTACGCAGATGTTGTACACGTTATGGCAAGCGTGGTAAGTTAGAGTACATTTATCTATTGTATATCTTTATATGATTTTATTTACAAAGACAAAGGGCGACCAGGAATTAAAGCCTCTTCTCTGTTCCCTGGATGGCGTAAAGAGTGAATTTGATGGTGCGGCAGATGTTATCACCCAGATGCACAAGCATTTTGTTACAGATGATGAGCTTAAGTATGCAAAATTTATAAGTCAAAGTCAAACTGTTATTGTTGACTACTTGCAGTGACCAATGGTCATCTTTGATGCACGGCAAAAAATGCCCTTGCCGCACAAGAGCTAGCGCACAGGCAAAGTATTTGGTAGAGCGCTTGCGTGACTCTTGGCAACATTTGCTACGTGACCGTGCGACACGTACCCTAACTTACAACGATGAACAGTTCCATGCCCTAGAGAAAATAAAAGTGGATCACAATGGCAAACGTATTAAGCAATTGCTATTGGAAAATGTGAATCCCGCTGTTGCTCAAATGGCGGAATGTCTGGCTGATTGGTATAAACTAGCTCAAACAGTCTACCTGAAAACTCAAATATTGGAGAAAGACGTGCGCGACTGCGAGCGTAAATTACATAGTATTCGTGATGAGCTCTACCACATAAAAGGTGAACAGAAGCTAAATGTGGACACCAAAAATATAAATAGCAACAACCAACTGGCCAAAATTGAGGAGCGTAATCGGCTACGCATTATGAAGCAACAGCAATTGGAAGTTATGGCTGTAATGAGAAGAAATAGCGAGCTTATATCTTTGATAAATAAAATAGGTATTTCCAATGCCAATATCAAGGGCAGCATGAACTAAAGAACTTTAAAAATGTAATGTGTAGTGTCTCATAATGAGCAAGTCCCCATATTGTATAAGTTTATTTGTATTATAAATATATAAGAAATATCTAATACCTATAGTAAAATTGTGTTATTTTATTTGATAATTAATAATGTATTTTCAACTGTTGATCTATCGAACATCAAATCAAATCGAGTGTAACTTTTGAGCTGTATCACTAACCGTGGCTAGTGGCTATATCGATGTGGAATATTTATTTTAATCGATAGTTCATGGTTCGTGGTTCCTCTCATTGTGATATTGTGCTATCGATTGAAGAGTCGAATATTCCCCTCACTTGGAGTGGCATTGCTATTGTTATCATTTTGTTCCTTTCGTTTCAATATATTTAAAATGTATTTGCGGCGTGCACTATGATTTCAATACTAACTACAGTTGGAACTGTAATTGATGCTTTGCTACTGCTGCCTATTTCGACCGTGATTGAGAGCATAATAAATATAATATATTATTTTCTCGCTGCCAGCTGGTTCATAGGTTACTGCCTCGTCGAAGCCGGTGGGCACATCTGGACCGCATTATGTGATTGTTACCGAATAGCAACTATTATTGCGAAGGAGTGCAACATTTTTTATAACGAGCTTCGGAATATTGTAGGCAATGTTTGGGACTACATTTACTATGGTACCGGAGACGGGCTCAATCTTGCGCGGTACTTGGCAGAGGAACTAGTCCTTTCAATAGGCAGCGTACTTATTGGACTTGGCAACTGCACACTGTGGATACTTATGCTGCTCCCTCGAGCCATTATAATTATAGTTGACTATATTATTCTAGCGCTTGATCAATTAGCTCGACATATTGTTGAGCGTGGCACATATTTACTCAAAAACGTCTTCCAACTCACGATTGGCATTGCGCTGCTTCTGGTGGTCTACATGTTTCGCAGATATGTTCATCTGCTAGCGCTTTATCTCCTAAGGACCCTTATTAATGAGATCTCAACAAAAGGGCGCTTGGCTTTACAGTGGTCGGCGAACTGGACTAATCAGCAAGTCTCCTGGGTGTTTCAGAAACTGGAAGTTTCGGAAGCATCGACGAATGCTTCGGGTCATCGATCAAACTGTGTAGTGTGTCTAGAAAGGAACAAGAACATCGTTATCCTTCCCTGTCGACATCTTTGCCTGTGCAAGGAGTGTGCCCAGCAGCTGCACCGCTTGGAGAGTGGCCATCGTTGTCCTATTTGCCGGAACGACGTCCACACATTGCTGCCTGTCTATGACTGATTATATATATTATATTGTATTTACTGTAAGCGTCAAATATTTTTGTAATTACTATAAGAAAATTTAAGAAACACAAAATTCTGATCATTAATATTAATATTAAAGATAATCCATACATAAACATTTTGTATATAAAAATAAATAAAATACAATCTTTAACTAAGTGGAACGCTGTAGTCGGGGGCTACTCACTGCCCAAATGCTGTCTGATCCATTTTTCGATTTTTCACGTCGCTGCTGGACGAATCTGGAAAATCTTGACACTTATAATTCGCCATTCGGATTGATTTGCGCCACCTATGTATGGATATCGAATAATTTAAAAAGTATAAAATATAGAACATTGCATTTATGTATGCAAGCGCCACCTATTGTTGTATTATATGAATGCTAACTTATTCATATGTAGATGGAGCTATGTAATCAAAGTTTTTCAATTCATGCGGTTCCACTAGAGTTAATGCCATCGTAATTCATAAATGCATTTGCATATTACGTTCGTCATCATATTACCTGGTTGATTGGTTTCTGATAATACATATCCCAGCTTAGGCGTAATCTAAAATACCATGAAGATTTAGCTAAGCTACAAGATTAATAATTAATGCATGGTGTGGTAACAATTTAATACATAGTAGTAAAATTAAAAAATATGGTTTATCTTTTTTGAGTTCACATTGTTAATAGTAAATAGAACAAATTAATAATATATAAAAATTGTGCAACAGAGTGTTTAGTTTTGGTGAGTTTACGTTGTTGAATTCAACAAATTTATTGCTCCCGTTTGTTTTGTCAATCACAACAAACTGATCAAGTTAATAAACTGGAGCAAGCAGTGTAAAGCTTTGGTGAGACCAAGCTGTTTAAAGTAAATTGAATGCAGTTATAAAGGTGAAAACCAGAGCAAAGCAGTGTAAATCTTTGGTGAGTAATCTTTTACATAAATTGAAATAAGGTTCAAACTGAGGTAAGCATTTGGTGAGCTCATTTTGTTTTTAATAATTGACCAAAGCTGAAAAATTGAGAGAAAGCAGTGCGCAGATCACATTACTTAATGTAAATTGAACACAGTTGGTATGCTCACATTATTTCACCATCCTTTGTGGTTATCTAGAAGGTATGTTGTAATTCTAGGCATCAAGAAATAGTCTGACGAAATCCAAATTTTTTTAGCTACGCCCAATATACAAAGCTTGATTGGTTAACACACAAGAAATAAGTAAACAATTTTATTTGAAATCAGTTACATTTTATATTGTGTGTATATAACTTGATTTATATGTAGAACTAACTTTTCTCAAAAGTCATATAGAAAACAAGAATAGGCTAACGTATACATATATATTTATTAAATCGAAATGACATGCTTTGTATTTAGTTGTTCTTCAAAAGTACATGAAATATTAAACAAAACAATAAAATTCGAAAAAAAATATCTGTGTAAATATATATATATATAACATTTTATGTGTATATTTCTATAGGTTGTTGTTCTTTCTGTTGCTGTACGTAAGTACTATAAATCGTGTCTTCAGTTTTATCTTTACGGATGGGCTTCAACATTAACATTCATTTGTGCACTTAAGTATATTCTGTACTTCAGATACAATATATGTATGTATTTATTTTTAAATTTGTGGCTAAACTGTGTTTTTCTGTGTTTTTTAGTATATTTTCCATTTAATACAGATTATTGCTAAAAAATTCAATTTCTTGCCATTTATAAAGCTTCATGGGCTCTTGCCTATTCTTATTTGATAGGAAAGTGGATAATAAAATATATCTTACTTATCTATATATTTACGAATAAAAAATATGCCTTTGATAGACAAATAGTGTACATATATGAAAATATTGAAAAGTAGTGAAAAGTATTATTCATTTCTCAAAAATATGCATACCCAAAATGTTTTACTTGACATTGCGATTCCTCTATGCGTACGTACATATGTATGTACATATAAAACTACAAAAGAACATCCAACAACAAAATGTCCATTTCATGAAAATTTAGAAGTTCCTTGTAAAAATTGTCTATTCAAAATATCTGTATGTATATATTTAGGTATATGTTTATGTATGAGTATATATGTAAGTATACATACGCATATCAATGTATGTATATATTATTTAGAAGGTACAAAGTAGGTTTTCATTTACACATATTGATATATAACTACACTGACTTACACTTATGTATTTGTTTGCTATGCCAACGACTAATTCACTATCATGTATAAATGTTAAAGTTAAAGAACTTAATTTGTTTATGGTTCTTATACTTATGTGGTTCTTCATGATATGTAAAGGCTAGACAATGGCAACATTTTCGAGTTTCGGGCTTCGAATTCATATTTGAGCAAAACGGTCTACCCAAGTTAAAAACCGATTTGATTGCAATGTTGTCTACCGGGGTTTCAAACCAATTTTGTCACAGTAAATTCCTTTTTCTTTTGCTTGCTTTTTCGTAGTTTCAAATATCCGTTTCTAACCGTTACTCAAGCTTAAACTTAGGGATTAAATAGGTAGGTTTATATAAGTGCTTTATATATCAATTTACCTATTTTATATATATATTTTGTAGAAAATGGCTGTCAACTGGACATACATCTATATATTTTTTTTCTGCTCTGAATTATTTGCCTTGTGTTAAACATTAAGTAAATATATTACATATTTTGTATTTATATTCAACATTTAATTAATAACAATGAGCTATAAAAATACAACAAAAATACATAGTGTGATATTCTGTTATTCAGGTATTACCAATAATATGAAAATAAGTTAACAACACTTAAGTTTTGTATTGTGCCTCCAAAAGCTTGAAGAGATATGTTTTCCATGTTAGGCATAAATAATTATTGTACTTAGTCTTTACATTGGTTTTTATAGCCATAGAGGAATATATTTGTTAAACGTTGTGATCGTTTCTATAAAGGCTCTACATTAGTTATTTTCTATCTAATTTTGTATCATGCCGATTTGTATGTATATGGTTTCCCTTCCAAAAAATGTTATGTATATGCATTTGTATAGGTATATGTATATGTATATGTATATGTAAATGTATTTGTATATGGTATAAAATATAAGTTTAAGATAAATAATATGCAAGTTGTAAATAGAAAGATATATATGTAGATTTAACCGCCAATTTATCACAAAACCACAATTGAAGGCTATGAATCGAAATTGAAAGAAAAACTCAATCCTTTGAGGGAACATTGCTATCATCTAATATTTTCTTAATTTTAAATTTACATTTAATTTTTATCATTCAAGTGTATCATAGTTAACAAATTATTAGAAAGCTTAAATATAGCTTAGACTATGCAATACTTATGCTCTTATCAATTATTATACTATTATCTTAAATCTTAGTTTGTGAGTTTGTGTGCAGCGCTGTATGTGTCAGACACAAATCACATAAAGGTACTTAAACTCTCTCTTTGTGCACCAAGTCGTGCGATAAAAGCTCCAACCAAGACATAATGGATGACAACCAAAATGTAAGGAGTGTATCTACGTACGATATATATCGTATTTGCCTATATGTGTCTAGTTCTAGACTTTAAAGAATCAAAAATATAAATTTTTCTTTTTTTTAATTAAGAAGCATGTTTATAACCATTAGTTATGCGCATCTGGTACTTAATACGATTGACTAGATGTAAGCTAACGGCGAGAGTGGATACTGCATGAAAGAGCTCTGATTTGTATTCGAAGGCAAGCATGAATCGGAATCGGAATCGGAATCGAAATCGAAATCGGAATGGGGAAAAAGGCGCAAGAAAGAGCCAATGTATAGTGTAAGGGGGTAACGGTTACGGTAGCTGATGTATGGGGGGATGTGCGTGTTGCGCGCATTGATTTTGACAGTTTGAAATTAAACAATTTAACAATTAACGTCAACAAGTTGTGAATTCTTTCTTTCTGTGTGGCTGACAAGTCACGAATAGCTTCGACTTGAAACACTGCTTAAATATTCATGAGCAACTCTCATTACGCACTGGTCAGTGGCCAACGGTTAGTTGTTGTGCCTGTACCAAGCAATGGTTACAAACTAGGACTTGTAGGCCTACGAATAAGGAGATGTAGGGTTAAGGAGCGGGTCGATCATACGCATGTTACTAGATATGAGCTGATGCAAATTTAATTATAATTGATATCTACATTCAATCTAGCATTCTAGCACTTTTCTTTTTCTTTTATTGCAAGCATCCTAGTCTCACGTTCATTGAGATCGCTTAGAGCTATGTACACGCTGGATTGTTAAATATTCAATGCTATATTCTATTTACGTAATCTACCGTATTACGAGCTATGTAAACATAAAGGAAGCAAAGTTATGGCGCCTAAAAGGGCAACGTGGTAACGAACATGTTCTCAATAAGTGCCGGTGCTGGCACCAGATCTTCTAATTTTAGATAGAATATGCGCTGCAGTCCCTGTACGCTCAAGGAGCGTAACTCGGGCAGTTTGCCCAACAGGCGACTGAAGTAATGCTGCTTCTTTTGAGCCTCCGCGTTGTAGGTAACATGGTCACGTAGACTGCCGATTATCTTCATTTGTAGTTGTTCCACCTTTTTGGGTTCCCGAAGTCCGTGTCGTTCTGTAACAGAAAGTAGCGAGCTGTAGTGTTGTTGTGTATATGTGTGTGTGTGTGTGTCTGTGTGTGGGTGGATGATGAGGTGGCTATCCACTAACCTGTTATCAACGTGAGGGCGCAGAGGCAGGCGAAGGCAGAGATGTCAATCTCCAGATTGTGCAGGCTGCGGCTGAACTCCATGATACCATTTAACCAGTCGCCAAAAGAACGCTGGCACTGGGTACGATGTAGCACAGTGCCATTACAGAAGATCATCTTTGTATCGTCACTGCGAGCACGATAAGATAGTCGTAGCACAAACAGCTCCAGCGAGGCGGATTGGAACAGAAGCTCTTGGTCCTCGGATGTGAGCTCCAAATAGCCGGGAATCTTTTCAGCGAATTGCCTGATCACATCTACCGAGCTGGTCAGCAGTTGGTAGAACTGCTGAACCTTTTCGGCTTCGCTCAACCCTAGGGGATTCGCTAGAGTTGGCGGAGTCAACGAATCCTGCGGCTCCACGTAGTGGGAATAGTCCAGGCACGAGGGATCTGGTGTTGTGTCCACGTGACTCCGCACCAGAGCAGTTATTAACGATATGGGCGGTGATGGGGGAGACTCCTGCGGTGACTTTGGCTTTGAGGGTAGACGTCCACGGCGGCCCTTCAGTGAGTCCGTGCGCACTACTTCCTTCACCATGCCAACCACCAGACACTTTTGAAAGCGACAGAATTGGCAACGATTCCGTCTTCGCTTGTCGACCGGGCAGCTTTTATCCGCCAGGCATACATACTTGGAGCCCTTCTGCACGGTTCGCTTGAAGAATCCTTTACAGCCCTCGCAGGTTCTAACTCCGTAATGTTGGCAGGCAGCCGTATCTCCGCACACGGCGCACAACTGCGAGGAATTGGTCGACTGAAGCAATCGTCCTGCCTGGCTGTGCAGAAAGTCAGCACCACCCCCGCTCACAGGTGAGTTTGCAGTGGAGTTGGGTGCCGAGCTTAGTTGTATCTGCAGCGCATTGATGGCATGAGTGTTTCTAGAGCCAACTAGCGCCAGCTTAGCCACCTTGGGGCTGTGCGCGGCAGAAGCGGGAGAAACGGAGCGCTGTATGGGCAACGAGGCTCGGCGCATGGGTGGGACAACCACAGCAGAGCCTGTGCTCAAGCCTGATCCAGGAGCGGCGCTACTTCCTGCGGTGGCCGCCTCCATCTCGGAAATGGTGGGAAACGTGGGCAGGGAATAACGTTCGCCGTTGTGCGAGCTGTAATTCTGTACGGATTCCCAACATAATCGTTACAATAGGTAAAGGGTAATGATTGTAAGCAGTTCCTACTTACCATGTGTTGATAGGTTTGCTGTTGTTGTTGCTGTTGCTGCTGCTGCTGCTGTCCAAAGAAACTGTCGTTGTGAGCCACACCGCTGTATTCATAGAGCGAGCTTGCTGATGAGCTGGGTGAGGGATGGGAAGTGCCATTGATGGCATTGAAGTGACCATGGTAGTTGTATCCACTGCTGTTGCTACTGCTGTTGTTGGCGTTGTTGGCCCGAGGTGGCTGAGCTTGTAGCTGGTGCAGCGATTGCCCTGAAGCATGGTCGGTATTTAGGTCAGCCATTACATCCGCAAAGCAGTCTTCGTCCATTTTTAGAGTCAAGATCTGGTCGGATGGCGTGGCAGTAGTTGAAGGGGATGCCTGTTTTGGACTGTTGGCGCTGCTGCTGTTGTATTTGAGAGAGTAGGTTTCCTGGAAGCTGGGTAAACTACTGCCGCAGGAGAGTGGTCCTCCAATGGGTGAGATCAGGAGGTCGCTGGTGCCGTGTCGCTGCAGATAGGTGGCCTGGAGCTGCTGTTGCTGCAGTTGCTGTTGTTGGTGAGTGTGAAGTGCGATAGCGGGATCGCTGCTAGACCGCAGGCTGAGCAGGCAAATCGAGTGATGATCCTGCTCGGAGCCTGCGCTGCCGTTACTGTTAGAGGGTGGCTGGTCTTGCGTTGAGGGCAAGCGCTTATCGCGCAGGCATGTCAGCTTCGTGAGATTCTCAATGGAGCTGGTGATATCCTCGCTGCTGCCAATCAGCGCCTCACTGGACGGGGGCACATCAATCTGCGAGTCTGGATAGCTGGCGACCGATCTCTCAAGAACTGGCGAGAGCAGCGAATTGTTCGAGTCCGATGGAAAAAACAAGTCCGAGAACAGCTCGCTATGCGTGACGGCCGCATCGGCTAGGTTGCTTATCAACTGATCCTCCTCATGGGACAGCAAAGTCACCTGGCTTGACGTGGGCAGCGGTAAGTGCTGGTGCTGCGTGAGCAACTGCTGCTGCTGTTGCTGCTGTGCCTGCTGCTGCTGCTGTGGCGCTTGCTGCTGATGATTGTGATACTGATGGCGATTGTGATGATGATGTCCAGCACCAGGCGCGACGGCAGCTACTGTGGACGTGGTTGTTGTCGTTGCCACGGCTTGCGTTGAAAAGTTGTCGAACGACGAAAGTGAACTAAAGGAGCTCTGCAATTGAAGAAAGTCAGACATAGACTGAATTAGCGCCTCTCGACCGAGTTTTAGGATAGCGTCTAGCATTAGATAAGGGTGGAGTCAAGTCGTCTGCTAGACATGCGCGATATCCCTGTCGACGCTGATTGGTGCACAGAATACAACCCCTATTACCAAGGCAGCCATATAATTGTTTTGCTCTGTTCATAAACGTCAACCGAGATTTGTTATGATGCTTATATTTGACTGACTAGCGACTTAATACCATTATAAGGCTGAAGTACCGTTCTACTCCAAAGCTTGGCATCATTTTTTATACCCAATTCATAAATCACAAATGGTTCTCAAACTTGTTCAACCTAACCTCAGTAAGTTCTTGATTTCAATTAGTAAGGAATATATCATATAGGTAAGAGTCTAACAATAATAATAGTAATAAAGAAATATTTCTAAAACCCCTATTAGATAGTAGCGCACTGTCTATTGAGGATCATTGTTCTCCAATTGGATATGCTTGACGCATTAGCCGGCTCTGTTTGCCAACAAGGATATTTGGCAAAATATTGAATTAGGCAGCTATTGTGGTAGTTGTTGTCATTGTTTGGGTGGTGGCCTCCTCTCTCTCTACAAGCTCTTCACAGTTGGTAATCAAGGAGCCATTGACAAAAAATTTGCCTTGCTACGACGCCTTTTTTGTTAAGGTTGGCAAAATGCACAGCATCTGCTTTAATATTATCTATGCCTATTTTTTGTGATCTTTGAGGACATGCATTATATAAAGGATGTTAATTTGAAATGGAACTCACATTGGGCTGCAAAAGTAACATGCTTGTGGTCGCTGGGCTATGGAGCCTCGGTTGGCTGCTTTTAGGTGATGCTGCAGATGGTGTTGTTGTTGATATAGCTTTTGTTGCTGTTGTTGCAATTGTCGCACCTGTAACTTTAGTATCGCCTTTTGTAGATCTAACTGCAGATATTCGTTCAGCTCTCAAGCACTTCGGCTTGCCGATTCTCTGGATATGCCTCACGCTTTGCTCGGTTGACTTTGTGGGTAGCGTGTCACGATTTTCCGTTGCTGTTGTTTCAGTTTCTGCACCTGCAAGGATTTTAATAAGGATAAACATTAAATGTTGGCATTTAATATGCTTCGCTGAAAATTTGAAAATTCGTTAATTTCTAAATGTTAAGCGGTGTCTGGGGCATCATAATTTATTCTAATATGCCATGCTTCCCTGCCATACGCTACCCTGCACTTTTGTCACTTTGTCAGCTCCACAGATACATACGGATTCATACGGCAAACATTTCGAGATGTGGTTTCCCAATTGTCTTGCGTTCCACACGCAAGCAACCGTATCGAATGTCTTAATTAGAAATGCCTCTACAAGCCTCTCCTTGAGTTACCCTATGCAAGAGACTTCTGTGTGAGACGACAAGAAAGGAGAACGGCAGGCGGAGGTCGGAGGTCGGAGGCCGTTTGGCGGTTGCTGGTTGCCAAAAGCTAAGCTCACGTTGCCGCCTCCGATGCGGCACCCGAGTTGTTGGAGTTTGGCCAACAGAGGATCGCATCTCAATCTCTTGGTTAATGCAGCACATTAAATGAAATAAATTGTGCTGTCCGCTGCAGCACCTCGACTCCGCTGCCTACCCTCGCCCGACCCCCTTGGCGGGTGTTCGCTTTTGATTAAAATAAATATTATGGCTTATTCGAATTGCAACATGGCAATTGGACGTTTCGCTTAGCTGTCCGCTGTCGCTGTTGCTATTGTTGCCGATTTTCATATTTGCTTCACAAACACATTTGTCATAATTTATATAATTTTATAAAACTCTTGATTAGCTTACAATTGTTAAGATTCCCTAAAAGATTTGAAACCTCCCACAGTTTACCTTTGCAAGTAAAAACAGCATTATATCATGTTTTCTTCTACTAAAACTATTTAATTCTGAATTTTGCTTTTGTTGTTCTTTTTAAAGCCTATCAAATCAAAAGCCATGTGTGGGGTTTTAGCGAAAAAAAAGTATGGTCTTTGTGGCCGCCCAAATGAAACGTTCTTACATGTTTGGATCTAAAAACTGGGGCTGAAAATCTTGAAGAATTGCATGTGCTACGTTTTATAATAGAAGTTGGCTGACAATGTACAATAAAATCAAAAGAATTCCATTGTCAATGAATGGGTATTTAACGCAGCGATGTCGTAATATCGATTCTTGTAGACAATATCTGCAGTATAAACTTATAGCTTATAAAAATCTATATTTGACGTCCCCGTTCATGGTTTTTGTTTATTTGAAATTTACTCTTTTACTGCTCAAGATCAACTTGAAATAAAAAGACAAACATGAACTTCCGAAGGTAAGGCTATTCAAATTAATTCTTTCCAATTATTCAGATCTGTATATTCTCTTTATAAACAAATATAAACAAATATATGATCTCCATTGCAATTCATTTAAACATGGGAAGCCTTACTCTCTCGATGAGTTTCTTCAATAAAATTTTTGAAATTTATAGTACCTGCTCAGTTGGCACAATCTATTTGAAGATCTAACAGAGTGTAAGACAATGGGCGAAGATTTCAAATGAAAATCAAATATCATTGCAAATGCTGCCGGCTTTAGCCGTGGGTCATTTAGAAAGCAATTGATTGATACCCTTTGCGCCAGCCAACTCAAAGCTCAGAAGACAACAACAAATAGCTCAAAAACTACCGTGGGCTACTGTAGAAAAATAGCTACCGGGAAGAGCGTGCGATATTCATTGAACATAACAATGTGCCATTGTTTTTATTAGCGAACATGTTTCTCTGGCATCAGCTTTGGGTTGGGCACGGCTCTGTAGATGCAGTTGCATCTTGAAATATTCAACAAACATTCAGCCTCGACGGCGATGGACTAGACTAGATTTGTGTGCGTGTGTGCGAGTGTTAAGTAAGATGAACAATTCCTCATCTATGGTCCTGCATTTACTATTTTCAAGAGCTGCTTAACAAATTTATTATAAAGGCCAGCAAATACTGACTAAGCTCAAGTCGTTTCGTTTTCTCGTGTCTTCTTCGTGTTGCATAACCCGGCTAATTTTTTTCTGTGTTTTTTTTTTTTACTTTTTTATTTTATTTTTTTATACCCTGAACCCATTGAAAATGGGAAATCAGGGTATAATGGTTTTGTTAAAAGTATGTAACAGGCAGAAGGAGGCGTGGCAGACCCCACAAAGTATATATATTCTTGATCAGGGCGACGAGCTGAGTCGATTTGGCCCTGTCCGTCTGTCTGTCCGTCCGTCCGTCCGTCCGTCCGTCCGTCCGTCCGTCCGTCCGTCCGTCCGTATGTATGAACGCGTCGATTTCAGAAGATATAAGAGCTAGAGACTTCAAATTTTTTTTAAAATGTCCGTAATTACAGCGCGCATATCAANTGCTTACTGCGCAGTTAGCAGAGCGCAGGCTTATGCGTGCGTGTGGATGCATGTGTATGTATGTGTGCATAAAAGAAGTGCAGAATGATTAGAATATCAGCTTGGAGGGTTCAGGGTATCTCCTAGTCGAGCAGTCTCGACTGGAGCTTTCTTACTTGTTTTTATATAAGATTGTTAATACATATTATTTTGCAAGCTTTGAGTGTACTTTGAACTGCGAACCCCATTGCACGCTCTGGCTCTGGCTCTGGCTCGGGCTCTGTCTGATCAATGGACATGGACATATGCATCTGCCCAGTCTGACAGACAAAGCCAAAGACAGACTCGAAGACAGGCACGGACGGACAAACTTGTGCAGTGACCCAAAGAAATGGTAATGCGTCGTGGTCGACGTCTTTGGCATGCTGTACGGGTCAGGCGACTTGGTGACTCTCTGGCAGCTTTGGCAGCTTTGGCAGCTCTGGCCAGCTTCGGCCAGCACTGGCATTCAGTCATTGAGTCAGTGGGTGCAGAAATCAGACATCTCTGCCGCTTGGGCTGTAGTTTTCGTGTGAAGTTTTGTGAGAAGTATACAAATGAATTTCAGGTTTGGGCCAAGGAGTTAGTCAGTTTGTCTACTGTAGCTGTTGCCGAATTGTTGTTATTGTTGTTGGTGGTGGTGGTGCTGCTGAAGCTGTTACAGGTCTGTTACAGGGCAGAGGCATGGCGGCAGGGGAGGCGTCGATGCTATCGCCTTTGAAATCCACGACAACGGGATCCGCTGGCCCAATAGACTCCAGCACAGACCTGCGCGCAGGCCACAAACTTCCTGCAGTACCTTTGATGATGACGATGCCGTTCGTCTGCCCCATTGTTGCCCTAGCTCCGGCTGTATCTCTCTCGCTCTGGGCATGGGTACTTGTTTAGACTTTCACTATTAATTGTCGATTTTCATCGATGGCTTTTTTATTGTTGGCTCTGATGATGCACAAAATGCAATACTTAATGGGCAATGGGTAATGGGGTTGGTATTTATAGTTGAGCAAAAAACCCAATTTCTGTGAACCTCATATCGAAACTGTATCTATTACTCAATGCTCTCGAGTGAGAGACAATTTGATTGATTTATGCAATCGAGTCTGCCGTCTTATGTTGCATTGTTTTCGTTACATCTCTAATTGCCCGACTCGTCTTCGAGTCAGTGCTTCGACACACGCTTCTATTACATTATGTTCAAATTGGGACAGCGAATAATCACAGGACTGCCTGATTTTAAGGAGCGATGAAGCGAAAGGCCGAATAGGACTTGTAATTAGAAATTCAATCTCTTAATGCTATTCTGGATGTTTCTGAATATCAAAGTAATATAATATTATCAAAAATTATTGCGATTGCCTTTAGACAACCTTTTCAAATGGGAGAAGTATTTAAAATCTGTATATATATTGTATAATATATCAAATCAGATCATTAGAAGAATTCCCGTAGGACATAATAGAGCAATGCTTAATGATAAGCTCGATCGTCGCGATAAACATCGTTATATATATATATATATATTGTATGCTGTTTACCACGATTCAGTCTTCTGTCGGTTGCACATATATTAGCAGATGCGATGGTCAGGGTATAAAAATCCAAAATGAGGTTTGAAGAGAGGAATATATATGGACTTGAGTGAAAAAATCCCAGTTAAATATAATATATATTAAAGAAATTTGTCGCAACAGTTCATAAAATCTTGTTGTGCCACATTAAATACTAAGTAAGCCACGAAACGGAGGCTGCATCAAAGTTAGCCTGGCACTGGCAGCGACAATGCGAACGGCGTCATCGTTGTTTAATCGCTGCAAAAATGATCGAAGGTCATCTTGGACATTTCAGTCAGAGCCACAGCCGGAGACGGAGACGGAGACGGAGCCGGCCATTTGAGTGGATCGAATTCACTTAATAAGCGCGTGAGCGCATCTCAACCAGTTGTTCCAATCCCTCTCGCTCTCGCTCCGCCGTCCGCCCTACTCCCTACCCCGTACTCTCTCTCCCTCTCGCTCTCTCACTCTTTGTCTGTCTCTCTCAGCATATTGACCAATATATTGGCCACTTGCCAACTTGCTGAGAGGAGGCTACTGCATTGGTCATCGTCAGCGAATTATGCAAAAGCGGATTCATAAAAATCAACTGCAGCCCGCTTTTGGATTGCGATTTGTGTCTGTTCCAAAATTTGCATGAAATTCTAATAAAAGATTTACCGTTTAGCTGCCTAGCTGCTTGGCTGGTTAGTCGAGGAGCTGGCGAGCTGGTGTGCTGGTTAGTTGTTAGGTGTTAGCCAGGCAGATGCAGCATCTAGAAACTGGTTTGATCGAAATTGGAGTGTTATATCATTTGAGAATATGAAATTCAAATGCGTGGCACTTGGATTTACCGCTGCTAACCCGTTCTAGGTCTCCAACCAAAAAATATGTACTTGTCGCAGCAATGATAATACGAAAGTA